CCAGTGAAGCAGTGGGCAGCCACCAATGCAGCGCCCGGGGAGCAGTGTGTATGGACGGTACCTTGCTCAGGGGTACCTCAGGGTAGCCGTTCAGTGGAGTTGAACCCCCGACTTTCCGATCATGGGGCCACCACTCTACCTACTGAGCTATCCCTGGCCACCACCAGTGAAGCTGGAGGATGAACGCTAACTTTTTTCCACTCAATAAAAGTTAACATGAGGGTTAAGAACAAATGCAATCATGTGGCAGGATGCTGTAAACAGACCAAACTTCAGTCAGAAGAACAACTGAGATAATCCATCCACAATATGAGGTTAGTCACTAATATACTGCAACAACATGTGAAAGAGCAGCTGTGAGAGAATTAAACATTAATGGATCAATGGTACGGAAGTGGAGGAAACAAGAAGAATGAGTTGAGTAAAGTTTGACTTATCTGACTGTTTTGTTTCGCTTGATGCACCGTATAATCTGGTGTGCCTTATGTATGAAAACAGACCCGTTAATCGACGTGCGCCTTATGGTCCGGTATATGTGTTTGATATGAGTGTGGTTACACTGATTTAAAAGTATTTTTCTTTTAATTTTTAATATCTTGCCAGGTCGGCTTTCCTCGCAGCCCACATTCCCCTTTTCCTTTATCCCTTTTTGCACACTGTGAGCAAAACGCGCCCATTCGAGTACCTGCGCCTCACCAGCCTTGGAGTCATAGGTGTGCTCTCCTCTCATTGTATTATGAAAAGAGTTTTTATCATTCAAAGTGTGTGTGTACAGGTATTAAGATGTCTGTTTGTACTTAATGTAGGTGCCTTGGTCAAAACAGATGAACAAGAAGTGATTAACTTTCTTCTCACAACTGAAATCATCCCGCTTTGTCTCCGCATTATGGAATCAGGAAGTGAGCTCTCTAAGACGGTACGGAGCTATTCTGTTTTTAAAATAGTCTGAACCTTTACAGATAGCCCGCAGCATAATATTGACACCTACTAGTGAGAAATCTTTATACGCATGTTTGTTTTTTCAGGTTGCTACCTTCATACTGCAGAAGATACTGCTTGATGACACAGGGCTGGCTTACATATGCCAGACTTATGAGCGTTTCTCCCATGTGGCAATGATCCTTGTAAGTGTTTGCTGTAAAGATATGCATGGACATGATCAGATAGACTTTCTGTGACACATCATCGATTACAAGAAGATGGTTTAGTCTCACTGATTTCTGTTTGTAATTTGTTGAAAAGTCCAGACAGAATTAAAAACTTTTGTTAACCGTTCGGAATAAACAGGCACAGACTGATATTTAAAAACCAGTTGTCTGTTCAAAGCTTTTTACAAACTGACCAGAAGAAAATCTGCATCAAGTCATATCTTTACTTCGCTGTCAATTATGTCCAAGCAGAAATGGTCCACAGTTAAAAAAAATTTAACAATTAATTTTCAGTCATTATCAGCAAATGAAATACTTCAGAACGTAAACTTCATATTAAAACTAAACTTGATTTTTCAAAAGGAATCAGTTCGTTGCACTGCAGTTCGAACCCTAGAGTCTCTTGTTTATGTTTCTTTTTGGTGTTTTAAAAACCCAACTGGGCACGGACATCACAAATTAGCCCAGGCTGCAGTGGCGTGCAGCATGGTTCATGTCACATGATTGAGCCTATAAAATAAATTTAAAAAAATAAACCCTTGAGAAGTTGAGAGCAGCATAGTAACAATATTTACTGCACTCCACTGATTTGATTTATGTAATCCATATACAGGGGGCTGATCAAATGTACCAAGGACAGAAGAAAATGCCCCCATGTCACATTCATTACCTTTGATGTGTAAACAGCACGCTGTAAAATCCTGTCACGTGTTCACAGCTGAACTTTAATCTTCAGTCAGAATAAAAATATTGATCCAGTTCGGTGGTTCTCAAACTGTGAGGTGTGGGCAACCTGGTGAAATCATTAGGAGGGAAAAAAGTCAAATAAATCGAGACATTAACAAGAGTTTCCTGAGGCTTTCACACTGACCTTTAACTCAAATGTAGTTTGAGTGCTTTCTTTAAATAATAATTTGTTGATTTGTGGCGTGTGGGTCGGGATCTTTGTTTGCTGGATGTAACTGTAGCTGTTGTCTCCATCATGTTTGCATCTTCAGGGTAAAATGGTGCTGCAGCTCTCCAAAGAACCATCAGCTCGGCTGCTGAAGCACGTCGTCCGCTGCTACCTTCGCCTTTCAGATAATCTCAGGTACAGCATCTTTACTCTGTTGCAGTTTATTGTGTGCTTGCAACCTTGCGCCACGGACTGGTTTATGCCCGACAATATTTTCACAGACCGGCCTTTAAGATGTCGCGGATAAATACAACAAAATAAAACTAGTACCGGTACCGAAAAAAAAGAAAATTTATTCATAACACACGTGAAAAGACCAAGGAAAACCGAGTAAACGATAAAAACGATAACAAAATAACGCTGAAAACCGATAAAAACCCTGAAAACTATACATTTCACACCTGAGCCTCAACTCTCGCGGCCCGGTACCAAATGACTCACGGACCGATACCGGTCCGAGGCCCGGGGGTTGGGGACCGCTGCTGTATAACACTGGCTTCGCTGTTTGAAGACTTCAATCAGCTTGCCACTAGAAGAAGCTATTGCAAAAATACACTGGTAGTTTTTACACCATGAGATGTTTATGTGTGTAAAAACAGTTCATGGTAACAGGTTGTATTAGATGTAATAGCTGCAGCTTTACTTGAAACACTTGGGAATAACTACATAGACAGAAAAATGCACTACATGTTGAAGCTGTTCATCGTTTAGGAATATTATATTTTTGTTTATTCTGATGATTTTTTGTTTTTGCCTTACTCTTCTTTCTAACCTGACATTAATTATTTGGAAAAATATATCTGCACTTTCATTGAGTGTTTTCATCAAGTTTGAAGTTCAATTTCATTTGAAGTGATATTAAAAGGAGGTTTTGTGTTGTTCCTTCCTCAGAGCCAGAGAGGCACTCCGTCAGTGTCTACCCGACCAGCTGAAGGACAGCACCTTCGCCCAGGTGCTGAAGGATGACACCACCACCAAACGCTGGCTGGCTCAGCTGGTCAAAAACCTGCAGGAGGGCCAAGTGACCGACGCCCGGGGCATCCCGCTGGCCCCGCAGTGAAGAATTCACAGGAGACACAAACGGACTTGAATTTGTATTCTGTCACATGTGGTGCTAAGACTGAAAAGTAAACAACATGATGGAAGAAGATATTTTTGCTCTTGGGTCATTTATTTTTCCACATCTTCTTTATAGGAACCCAGACTGTATGATTTCCAAGACTTTTGTGAATATTTGAAAATCCAATAATGATACATAGGCTGATGTTTTCCTTGAAACAGCTTGATAAAGAAATGTTTAGGTAGGAGATTTTGCGGTTGAAAAAAGGAAAACAGTAACACTCCTGCATTTCTGTTAACAGCGAAATTAACTGACGTTTACTTTTTAGAAAGTAAATAAATATGCATTAAAATGCATTCCTTTTATATGAAACAACAGACAAACTAATAATAAAATGTGTCTATTGCTGCAGTAACTACAAATACATTTTGCCATAATTATCACCACAGATTACTGGTAAATTAAAATAAGATGGTACTGGCTGTAAATATCCTGCTATCACTGGATCCTACAGTTACATCCCACATTACATACATACATACTCTTGTTTGTTGTGTTTCTAATGGGACTACTTCCAGATGTGCACACTGGTATGTGCAGCAGTTTAGTAATACAGTGATATTCTGTACATTTGCTGGCACATTTGTGTAAAGAAAAAAGGTTTCTGTTCTGAATAAATCTCTGAGCTAGACAGCACTTGTTGGCAATATTTCACAAATAAACAATTTTACACCAAACTCCTGCCCCTGGCAGTGCCCTTTATGTGTGATTAGACTATCTATGGAATTTGACTGTCAATCTATAGCTCAATAATACGACTGCAATATGTCTTCAATACGACTGCAAGCACTTTTTGAGTTTTTTAATTGAAATGGTTCCATTATTTGCGGCTTTGTTGTTTAACAGCTAAAATCCTACAAATCTTTATTTACAGTGAAATTCCTCAGAGAATTACTTTTAATTTAGAAAGTAGCAACTGGAAGCGATGGTCTCAGTGTTTGAGGGGACAGTACGGATCCACCATGGAGGTTAAGGCAATAAGAAGAAAGTATATCTCACTTCCTCTTTCCCCTAAAGTAAGAGGTTAACTTTAAAATCATAAATGAGGTTTATCCAACCAATGAATTCTTAAAACGGAAATTTAACTTAGATGTGAACGCCTTCACATTTTGTGACAGTGATATTGAAAGTCTGGATCACTTGTTTTTCTACTGTGAATCAGTGCACCCCTTCTGGATTGACATGTGGAGCTGGCTACAGTTCAGGAGAATTCAGTTACCACATTTGATGATGACAGTAATAAAATTTGGAATACTTGCTGAGAATGCAGATTTTGACTTGTTGATTAGGACGTTTTTGTTACTGGGAAAAAAATTTATTCACAAATGCAGATATTTTAAAGCTAAACCACGTATAAACAGATGGCTGAATGACTTCAAACTCTGGGCTAAATCGCTGAAACTTGTGAATAACAAGAAAGCTCATAAACTTATTGTATTATTTAACAAGTTTAATCTATGTTAAAAAAGAAACCTCCCTATTTAATGATCATGATTGCCCTTTTTTGTTCATATAAATTTTTTCCTTTGGTTTTAAATCCTTCAATGACTGTTCTCTCTTTTTGTTCTAACTCTTTTTGGCTTTGTGTTTATTGTTTTTTTGTTTTTGTTTTGTTTTGTTTTGTTTTCTTCCTCTTTTGTCGTTGTAACGCTCAACCGAGGATATTACATATTCGGATTAATGATGGTGCCTTGTATGTTATGCTGTTGATTATAAATAAAGTTCTTTAAAAAAAAAACTAGCGTCCTGCCATTAGTTGGACGCTAACCTCGCGAGAATATCCAGAAGTTGATCTATGGACGGGTTATCAAACTTTGCTCTCTCGGTTTATACCCGCTAATGTGCCGTTGAGTTTCCCCGTAAAGCACCTGACAGCTCGCCGGGAGCCCTTCGGATTACAGAGTTCAAATGAAAGCCGTGATTCTCGCCGCCGGGTACGGAACCAGGCTCCAGAGAGATGTGTTGGCGGACACCACCGGAAGGTTCGCCCACCTGGCGCACGTAGCCAAGCCGCTGCTGCCCGTCGGTCGGTGCCCTTTGAGCTCACACTGGATCCACGCGCTGACAGTGTCCAGCTCCGTGGACACCATCTATGTCGTGGTAAATAACCAGTAACTAGGTCCAATAACTGACTCCATTTCACAGGAATCTGATCCGACTCTGCGTAACTGTTAAAATGATAAACCAGGTTTGAATATGTGTGGACAACAGTGTTGGGGAGTAACGGAATACATGTACCGCCGTTACGTATTTAAAATACAAAATATGAGTAGGGATGGGTATTGATAAGATTTTCACCATTTAGATTCCATTTTCGATTCTGTTTAACGATTCGATTCTTTATCGATTCTCTTATCGATTCTTTTTTTTTAAAAAAAGGAGAACACTAAGGTCGATTAGCTTAGAACTTTGTTTTATAGCTTCTCTTTGAACAAGATAGAAATTTAGGAGTAACATGGCCTTACAAACCCAACAGTGAGATCTTAAGAGATCCAGCCTATGGCTCTTTAATGGGGTGTCACAGGGTCCCCAGGAAAAATAATTGTAAATGTAAAATAATAAAATAAATATTCTTCTGTAGCAATAACAAAGTATAACATAAATTATTCTGTAGCAATTACACAAGAATATCCAGTAATGTCCCTGCCTACAATTAAACACACTCACTTACCGTAAATCGGGGGCATCTGCTGTGGCAAATGGGTGCAAGTCTTTTACCTCAAACTTAGTCACTGCTCGGTGACATTCGTCTATCCTGGCCTGAAAGGAGATGCTACCGGTAGACTGCAGCGAGAACTGCCAGCATCTGAGCCAGACTCTCTCTGTCTCTCTCATCATGGTCACCTAAATGCACAGTAATGTGCATTTAGGTGGGGCATGTATTCTGTAATCTGTAGTGGAATACATTTTAAAAGTAACCTTCCCAACACTGGTGGACAAACACATCAAAGATAGTTCCCTGATTCACTTTACATGTTAGTTAAATAGATAGAGATAAAGTGTTAGGCACAGCCCAGACAGCAAGGAGACATTGAACTGATGTTGATTTTTCATCTGATCCATCAGAATCGTCAGGATTGAAATGTCAATGAAATATCAATGTTGAAACAACATTAAAATACTGATGAAACCTGACATTGACATTGAAATAACATTGATTCATTGTTGTTCTGTTATTGTTGATTGTTGATCTATTTATAGTTGACTATGTGACAACAATCACGTAGTGAGTACCTTCTCTTCTGATGTAATGATTATGATAATGATCAGTAACGTGCAGGTCTGTGACCCACTCTTATCCTCTGCTGATCTCCACAGACCAACACTCTGTACCTCAGGGCGTTTGAAGAATGGGCAACAAATTTCACAAATGTCCAGATCCTCAGCGACCAGACGACAAGCAATGATGTAATCCATACCGTCCTCTGACCTGTAATCTAAAGATTTTTTTACACATGCCCCGCAGCACTGAGCAGTGTTGGTCAAGTTACTTGAAAAAAGTAATCCTGCTACTTTACTGATTACTTATTTTCAAAAGTAATTAGTTACTTTTTAAAACATGATTTATCCCCTAAATACGTAATAAAGCGATAGATCTTTCAGCCCAATTCTACTTTTTCTGCATAATCCATCATATAAAATGTAATCAAATGAAAAAGTCTCTTTTTAAAACTTGTTTTATTAGTTTTAATCTTTTAACTTTATGCATCAAGCAAGCATTAAATTATATGCAACATTCTCTGACTGGAAGAAATTTGTTTAACATTTAAACCTTTTCTGCATATTCCAGCATATAAAATAAAATAGTTTTTTGTTTACACTCACTCTTTCAAATAGATGCACGTAAAACGCAGCAGAAAATAAATAAAATCAAAGACTCAGCGGCCCTGTTGCTCTATTTTCACCTGTATAGCAGGAGTGGGGCAGGCGGAGGTTTGCCCTGGTGCAGGTGTGCTGCAGCAGTCAGTGGAAGAATTTGGCAGTTTCTCTGTAAATTTCACATTCCAGCGGCAGCGTATTTGGTGCTTGCTCGGACGTTTAGGGGTTTTCTTCCCATGCAGTGAGCAGCGAACGATAATGTTTTTGACACTTTTTACGGAATCAAACTCAAAGTAAGGTCCGTTCTTCCACGCTTTAAACGCTGCACGCTCATACTCTCTCCTGCACACAGCTGTTGCCACTCGCTTACGTCATTGTCATGAGACACTCTCGCAAAAAAAATCACGGTTTTAGTAACGCAGTAATGCAGCGTGCTTACGGGAAAGTAAGTAAGTAACAGTAATCTAATGAAGGTAAACTTTTGCATAGTTTCATTAAATATGCTGAAGCTCTTGTACATTAAGTAAGCTGTTGATTCCGATGTCAGGCAGGGATTTTCTTCTCAGATCTGGTTGATTACCTGGACTGATTTGTCCTTCACCAGGAACGACTGGGCGCCGTGGCCTGCCTGCAGCTCGCTGTGAAGCACTTTAACATAGAAGATCATGTCATAGTTATCGGAGGGTAAGTTTGTGCTCCTTAGCTCATGGTAAACTGTAGTTTTGAGTGTGTAAACAGCTCTGAGATGTAGCTCTCTCCCTGTCCATCCTGAACAGTGACACCCTCTTCAAAGAAGATTTCAGCCTCAGGAAAGTTAAAGAGAGGTTCTCTGATGTCCAGTCGAAGTGTGAAGACAGCTGCCTTGTGCTGTCGTATCAGTGCAGAGACGAGGGTGAGGTTAATAAAGCTGTTCACGTGTCCAACATCAGCCGTGGCTTTGCGTCTTCTTCCCAGTTAGTTCTGTATTTTATGTTTGTGTGTTCAGAAACCCAGAAATATGGAATCCTGGAGGCAGACACTGATCTTCGTGTCCTCTGTATGAAGGAGAAGCCTCTTCCCTCAGAGACAAAGTCCAGGAGAGCAGTAAGTTCAACACAAATGGTCAGAATGTGGTAAAATATACACTCAGGGATCTTAGGGTTAAAGACTGTAAATGAAAGATGGAACTTTACTACCCAGACTCAGAACACAGAGCTGACTATTTTTGGTTTTCAGTGCCCTTGTTTCTACGTGTTTTCAAAAAGAAGTCTTCGTCTGTTGGACACTTTCCTTGAGGAAAAGAAGGTAAACGAAATAAGCCGACACTCCACAATTAAGTTATGTTTTTATTATTAACGAGAAGCTTAATATTTCCACAGGATGCTCCAATCACAGAGAAAGACGCTCCCGGAAACTTTGTGTCTTGGCTCATTCCGAGGTAATTTCAGCTGGGAGAAATCTGAGTTTTACTACAAATAAATAATTTCCGCTTTTTGTGTGTTTCAGAAGGAATCAGGGTTTCATTTTGAATCTGTTCTTGTATTTTTCATATACTTAAATGACACTCAAGCTTAGACGATGGCAGACTGTTGTATTCTTTTTTTTCAGGAAACCTGTTTACATTCAGGAAATTTCTGGGCGTTTTGATGTTGGAAACTTGCCATCATATGTTGAATGTGATCTGTACTTCAAAGAAAAACTTCAGGACGTTGAGTCGTACATGGTGTAAAAGGACGTTTATTTTTTTTTAAACTGATCCAAGAAGAAAATTATCATGTGTGACTGTAAATACACCTTTAAGTTTATGATCAATCTTTTCTATAAATGTTATTTTATTAATCTAAACAATGTGGAGTCTTGTGCATTTGTCCGAGGCCTTCTCGCGGCTGTTCTCCATCTTTGCGATGCGGGAGCCAAACTGCATGGCTCTCTTGGGCAGGACGGCCGATTGACCGAGGCCCAGTCGCCTTGCCGTCATCCTCAGGAGGAGTTTCTCGCCGACTCCTCGAGGAAGCGACAGATTGGCTTTCTGCCACACGGGAAGCGAATTCAAGTAGCTCACCACGTCTTCGTCCAAGTACGGAAACCTGCAGAGTCCACAGAGGAGAGCGCCTTTAATCTGCGGTGCTCAAAATAAATTCTACACTGAGCTGCAGTTTCAACCAGTACACCAGTCATGATTTCATACGTGACATGAATTTTTTAAGAATAACAAGAGATAAAACACCCACTGTGATTTTTTTTAAGCCACCTTACACAGTGCTGTGGAGGCGAGCTGTATTAACTGTTCATGCCTCTCAGTTCAATTATGTGATTAAATGAAAAAATGAATCATAATTTGGCAAAAATGTTTATTTACACTAAAAAATCCAATTTGTTGTGCTCTTTGCACTTATTGACAAATAAAACTTATACCAGCTGATCTGCAAATAAGAGGACATTTATTCCACTTCGGGTATTTAAAGAGCTCAAACTTAGAGGAAAAAAAAGCTGAGACTTTATCATAATAAATCTTTTTTTTTTTTTTTAAATATAATTTGCGTATTGGCCAGAATTTCAAAACCCATTCCAGTTTACAACCTTATATTAAAGCTATGAAAGTGTGCTATTTAGCTTCATTATCAGTGTACAGACACCTCAGTTTAAAATCTCTGCCTGTAGAAAATTCACAGAAACGGACGGCACATCCTTCAAACAGAAACGGCATGCTGCTTAAATTTTAACCAGACATGAACAAAAATATTATTTTAAGTTGTTTTCATTTCAGTTTTTCCCTGAGTGGTTCCGCTTACTGACAGCAGGTGGCAGTAAAATGTTTTTAAAAACATGATAAAAATTAGTAAAAGCTGTGCTTTTTTTTCTTTTTTTAAACATCAGGAAGGAAAACCACCTATCTGTTAGACATCAAGGATACACATGGGATGTTATAAAGACCCCAGATTCATTAAAATAAACATCTTACCCACCACACAGACAAAACAAGCTTCACTTGCAGACCTACCGAGCTTCCTTTCCATGGTCCCCGATCACTCTGTCGTCTCTGCCCAAATTCCTGGAGGAGATCCGGCCCAGCTCCATGGCCAGCTCCTGGATCAAGCCTTCGTGTCCAGAGGTCTTAAACCGGACTCGGTGCCTGGAGTAACCAGCCAGCTGCTCATCTGCTCCGATTCCGGTCAAAATGACCTGCACAAATCAGAAACGTCTCTGATAACAAGTTTTTAAAGTTAAATGTGGAATAATTCTGCTTTCCACCAGCTCTGTATTTTTCTAGCTCACAATAATCCTAATCTATCTTAAACTGGCCTTTAACACCATTTATGACCCAAACTCTTTTATTCCTGAGAATCCTCCTCAAACAACAGTTTCATCAAATTAAAAAAAAGTTATACTGAGCTCTCACACCCTCCTTCCTACAAAAGAAACTCCGCTCTTTGTCACCTTTGCCGACGACGTGAATGGCCTCTGGTGGTTTCCCTCCGCGATGAATCCCACTCCTCTTGCAGCGAACCAAACAGCACAGCCGATGCTGTCGTCCAGCACCGTGTCCAGCGGATGCACCAGGTGACAGACGTGCACCAGGCGCTTTTCCTGCAGCTCCTCCTGCGTTACGTTAATCTCCACAAAGTTCCACTTCCTCTCAGGGTTCAGTTCTTGTAGTTCCCTGAGCCCAGCTCTTCCAGTGATTCTGTCAGGAACGTCAAAGGGGCTCAACACTTGGGAATTTCCCTGATCAGCTTTTAAATCTATGGGCTTATTTTTGGGCTTTCTCAAGGACTCGTTCTTCTTTTTGGGCTCCTGTAGTTTAAAGGCCACATTCAACAGGTCTACAGGCTCATGTGCAGGTATGTGACGGTCAGCTAAAGCAGCCAGGATCATTGAATCAATGCCTCCTGAGAAAAGTATGGCAACACGAGCACAGTCAATAGCAGGAGGAGAGAGGTTTAGAGCCCTGAAAGGTAGAGACTGAACGCGTCTCCTCACTGCCTCGCTGAGAACGTCGATGAGATGATTCACCTCATCAGTTTTCTCCTCACTGCCCAGCAGCTTCTCCAGATCCTCCACAGACAGACATGAGTTTGAGTGAATTTCTGTATCATTTAATGTTTCTGGAAGAGACACATTCATAGGTGGAACAGGTGAAGAGAGTTCAAGACCTGACTGGTTCATCACAGCACTGCAACCTCTCGGGATGGACTCCAACACCTGAGGTATGGTGTCATTACTGACATCACTTTCTGCATGAGCCCAAGGATAAACCTCAAATGCCACACAGCCAGCTTCTGCTGCCGCCTTGAGGTTAACCCTGAACACACCAGCTGCTGGGACTTCCTGCCACACGCACTGTTTGGGACCAGAAGTGTGAGCAGCCACAGAAGTTAGAGTCAGTTCGCCGGCCTCTGCGTCAAATGTCCATAATAAGCTCCGCCTACCAAAGAAATCTCGGCCAAACCACAGGTAGTCTCCTGCCTTCTGGTAGTAAACAAACCCCCATGGTCCACGAATAGCAGACAGGACAGTGAGAATCTCTGAAGGGGCATTGCAGGATGATAGCCGCTGAGCTAAAACCGTGGTGTCATTCTCCTCTGGCGTCACCGGCAGGCCACTGAAAATCTCTCCATTCCACAGCAGGATGTTTCCGGCGGCGTCTTGAAGCGGCTGAGCAGTGAGGAGACCTCTCATGTGAAGAACGTGAGCAGAGAATAAACAGCAATAGCTGAGATCTGAGCCTGTGATGGCGAGGTCCTGGCTCAAATTGGGCCCTCTCCTTTTTAAATGTTCATAAACTCTTTGATTCCACTGAGAGTGAGCGGACGCCAGACTCAGCGCACAGAAGATCCCACACATCGCGGCGTTGCTGTGGCCTCAGATATCCTGAAGTTCCTTTTTCATATAATCAAGCTCCTCTGGAAACAGAACAATGCACTAGTTACATGATGCCATAACATTGTGCCTTCACTGTAGGCCTATTATGGCATAAAACACGCTGCTGACTGTTTAATTATTTAACAAAACAAAAAAAAAAAAAAGAGGGGGGACCCTGTTCCCAACTTTACTGGCATCAAATTCAAAATGAGCAAATACAGGAAAAGCCAGCAAAGACAGAACACACAAAAACAGCCAAGCACTGAGACAACCAAGAATAACAAGACTTTCCAACATTTCCAGTGTTTGTTTTTACCTCACTGCAAATATTTCTCAAACCTACGTCTGAAAAAAGTCCTTTATTGAGCAGTTTCTCATGCATAAACTTAAAATAAACAATGCAGCTCAGAAACAATCCCACAGTGATGCCGGTGACTTTTCAATCTTTAGCTTGTCTTGATAACGACACCTGAAGTTTGATTGACATATTCTTGAAAATCTAATGGAGTTTTGTTCAGAAGAACTCTGGACTGGACTAGATGTTCTGGGCATGTACTAAAAGATAGATACAGGACAGACTGGAGATATCACATCTCTCAGCTGGCCTGGAAACACATTGGTCTTCCTCCAAATTAGCAGGTGGAGGTGTTTAGGGAAGGGAGGTCTGGCCTCCTCTGCTTAGATTACTGCCCCCAGTCTCCCACTATCCTGGATAGCAGCAGAAAACGATTGGATGGATGGATGTTAAAAAATAAACAAAGCAGGATAAATCTGTTTTTTGCTTCTACCCTGTTTGACACATAATGTATCACATTTTTCAAAAATAATAAACTCTCAGTCAATTTTTTTTTTTTTTTAGAATTTTTGTTCATCTTTACTTCCAAGTTTTCACCTCTCAACCAGAGACATTTCCATCATCTTACTTTTGCACGAAGTGAGTGTCTGACTTCTCTCTCCCACGAAGAAGATGTTACTGTTCCTCTGCTGGATGTAGACTTTCTGCGCGGGAAACAATCTGCATTAATCCACATTTATACTTTCAAAACACATGACTGCACCAGCCTAACAACATAGTAACCCATGTAATTTGCGTGTTTCCCATCATAACTGCACAAATAATGATGTGATCTAATAAATTTTGAGACTTTCCACTTCCTCCACTTACCCTGTTTTTCTTCAGATTGCAGAGCTCGTCCACAAGAACCTTCTGCTCTTTAATCTGTAACACGGAAAGTTTCACCGATAAAAACTACACTATCTGAATCTGTTAAGACACATAAAGCTAACAGAAGCGGCAGAATAATTATATATAACGAAAATAACCAAAAGTCTATGTATTTGGGAGACATCCGGTGGTCTGTAACAGCCACATTAGCCGTATTAGCATGTTTGGGCTAACGCTACCTTCTTGTTCAGTTCTTCTTTTACTGCGGCCTGTCCTTCAAACTGCTCGTCACTGCTGCAGCTTTTTGAAGACATGATGGTGCGAAGAAACGTAGAAAAAACTGTCCAGAGTTTTTATTAATAAAACCAAACCTGGTTCATACAGAGTAAGCTCATGCGTCTAACCAGAATGAAGCTTTTCCGGGTGCTGAATGTTCACACAGTTTGAACTCTACTGCCTCCTGCTGGTGGGCGGTGATATAGCCATTCAACTGAATTATTCATCTGTATCAAAAAATACAGATATTAATTTGTGCATGGTCGAATTTTTTTTTTTACTTTTTCTATTTGTTTTCTTTTTTTTTACAAGAGCAAACCACTTAAGTTTAAGACTTTCTTCAACCTCCAAAGGTAGCCAGCCTGAAACCCCTGGCATTTGTTTTGGCACTTACCTTGAAGCATTATCTAATTAACATTATTTTAATGTGCACCAAAACCAGTCAGTTTCAAAATAAGTCAAAGTCCATTCACTTAAACATGGCTGTCTATCTATGTTCATCTCACTAGGCTTTTATCAAAGTCAGCCTTGTTTGGAGCCTACTGAGGTGGTTCAGGTGATGTATGTCCAGGATGCCTCCTGGATTCCTCCTAGGTGAGGTGTTTTAGGCATTTTTTTTTACTGGTAGGAGACCCTTCAATAGACCCGGGTCATGAAGGAGCAATTATGTCTCTCAGCCGGCTTGGACCGTCCTAAAAGAGCTGGAGAATGTGCCCGGGGAAAGTGAGGTCTAGGTATGACTGTCACTTTTCTCTCAATTAGGACCACAGATGTCAACCTGCCCCACACAGCAGACACACTTGGGTCTAATCTGGACGTCTTCAGTTAGCAAATATGCAGATCACACATCACAAACTCTGGGTTACTGCAGATGTCGGGTGGGCTAGATGCCACAGCACACCTGACATTCGGTCTATAAAGGTGAATTTGTGGCTCTGCTGAGCTAGCTAGACTCATCCTAATGACATTTAGGCCATTTAGGCCAAATCCGTCAAGCACCTTTTAAACTTGACAAACACACCTGCCTGAAGCCTCACGTTGCTTCGCTGTCCACTCAGCTGCAATGCCTTATTGATCGGAAACAGCTGTCAGATGTTTGCAGTCTCATTCCCTGAAAGCGAGGGCTGTCATTTCAGGAACAGCGGCCACAGGTTGCCACAGCCGGCCAGACTGTGACCCTTGATGTTTATTTTTCTGTGGTGGAGTTGTCAGGCACATATAAAACTCATTGGCCTTATATCCACAAAAACTAAACCGACCACAGCCCTGTTGTGCTCCCAAAACGGTGATTACGACCATTGTTTCTTTGGTCACTCAGATGGTTGGTCATCTTTCTGTATCAGGTGTTGTGACCTTGATACCTCAAGAGCCATGCCTCGGGTATTTGGATTTTATCAGATTTTGTTGAAATACGACTGAGCTGTTCTTTAACACCTTCATTGCAACAGAGCACAAAAAAAGAGGAGAAGCATAAAGAATAGATGAATAAGAGATTTCCCATCTTGCACCTGGATCCCTTCTTTAGCTGCGGCTGGTAAATGTGAGACAACTTTGAGCCACAAGAGGCAGGTCATCCAAATATTTTTATCCAGGAGTACAAATTTAGCTGATGTAAACACAGCTTGTTGTTGCACATCCCGGGATCCCTTCAGGGACAGACGTACCTGCAGGTCACATGACCACAAAATGACAGAGCAGCCGCCCGACCGCTGATGACAGCTACCTGACACAGCGGCCCACTAATAGTGGAGCTGGTAATCTGTTTGTAGCGGCTCAGTGTGTGCAGGCTTTGAGACGGTTGGGCGCTCTGTAAAAGATCACAAAGGAACTGAAGCTCCTATTGTCATCACCCGGCTCAAAATACGTGCTTATGTTACCTGTCGCTGTCAGTTTTGCTCCCTCATGCAATGAGACAGCACAGTATGCATATGCACTGCATTTGTTTTCATGTGCATTCACAGAGCTTTGTCCTAAAATAACTCAACCTCCAACCTGCTTGGATCACACATTAAGAGTTAAATTTAGGGCTGGATTAATCTACTGGAAGGAACCTGGGCTAAAAGAAGCTGCACTGATTCTCTTTGTGTCTGTAAATTAGTGGATTTGTTAGTAATTACCAGTTATCATGGTAAAACTCAACATCAAAACCACCAAGTATTCTTAAACACAGGACCTCCCGGGGGGTGGCGTCTTCAGGGGGATCCCCTTTGGGTCTTCTGGAATGCAGGGTGGTGCTCTAGGGCCAAAAACTGTAGTTCCTTTAGTGGCCACTTGAGACTTCCTCCATAAATTAGTCAAGTCCCATAGACTCCCAACTCTACAGCAGAAATAAACAAGTTTACAACCTGCTACAAAAAACAGTTTTGGTCTATCTGATTAGTTTCACCCTCCATAATAAGCTTTTAGTAGGTTAATATTTTTCAAAGTCATCCAGCTAGATTTCGATAAGGCTCAAAGTTAGAGCTGTGTCCAGTTTGATTGAGGAATGTGCTGAGACAAGGAGCCGTAGCCAACTGCTTTATCTTCTCTGAGTTACTGAAATATACCTCTCCATCATGGCCTGTTTGCAGTTTATTAATTGCATCAATATCAAAGCCCTCTCACTCTTTGACTTGTCTTTGCAAGGGTTCGTTTCACCCCCTTGTCTATATTCAGTCTTTATTTTTATACAATTAAAGTTCATTGAGCTGCAGCAGCTTTGTGCAATACTGTACTAGTGTTATCTGATACCTTAGGAACTGGAAATTGTGATGTTTATTATTTTAGTACTACCGTTCATCTATTATTAACTTTTCCATTGGGTGTTCCAAAAAGGTGGAAAGTCCAGTGAGAGCATTGTATTTATATAATCCTAAGCAGGACACCGATAACCTGGTAAATTAATATCTTATTCACATTTCTTCTAAGTGGAAGGTGCTCGTATTAACAAGGATAAAATAATAAAATTATTAACAAATTACACAGCTTGCAGAAAGTTAAAAAAAAAACCCATCCACTTCTAGTTAGCAACTTTTAAAACCACGAATTAACAGTTTGCATCACAGACAACTCAAATATTAGATTTAAAGAGGTCATGAACCAGATTACATCTTAGCTTGGTACAGTAGATTTCTGGTTTTATATTTCTGCTCAGGTTAAGCTGTATCATTGAATGTAGAATTGTGCTTTGGAGCAGTTTTGCAACCTTTGGACAGATCCAACTCAGGCATCTGCTCTTTGATTTCTCTTGGAAATCCAACCTTGAATAAACTTTTCTCATGCCTATAAATAAGCAGGAAATGAGTGACCATCTCCTGCTTATACTACTTTACCCAGTGCAATAATATTTATGAAAGGAAGAAGATGAAGATCATTAAAACACATCACAAGCATTTTGGACATCGTAAACAATACTTTAGTGCCAAATTAGACGTGAATGCTCACCTATAAAGAATTCTGGAGATGCATTTGTTTTTATGCATCACAAAGCTGCAGTTTTTCTTTCTACACTCCAGAATGTGATGCAACCGGTCGACAGATTTTAGAGTAATTTTGCAACAAGGATTTAAGTAACCAACAGAACTGCAATGAGATCCTCCCACAAAGAGCAAAGAGGCTCTGCTTTGTCACATGTCATTTTGATGGACTGCGTTCAGTGTGTTTGTGGGTGTTTTTGACCTTGAGACAGATTAGGAGCTTCACAGAGTCCATTTTTGTTTTCATGCTTAAGCTTTCGTAACACCGCAGGGCTGAGGTGGTAAAACTGGAAGGTTTAGTTGAGTTTGTGCAAAGTTTTGTGTTGCAAATGGATAAAAACAACAGCTCTAAATTTGCATCAAACCCAACAAAAGTAAAGCACTTGATCTTTGTGGTATAATATGAAAGCCACATAGAACCTGCCCCCACAGGACCGAGCACAATACAGGGCTGTATGTGTGGGTATTATTCACTGGAGTGTGCTAAAAAAAAACCTCAAAAAACCTAAACTGTGTCACTGGAGAGCAGTCATGATGTTTCAGTGAGGGTCTCACTCAGCTGATCAGAGTTCATACAATGTGCAGTTAAAAGAGACATACATGCAGGTGTTCACTGAGTGTTTATTGCGGCCCGAGGAGGCTTCATCCATGCAAGCTGTAATTACAGCTGTAATACTGTTCTGTTGACAAAGTGCACGAATGCAAGTCATCCGAATGTGCACTATGTACACAAGTTTTACCTCCAAACTCACCTGCAGCAGCAAGCAGGAGGTAAACAGCTCCACTAGGTCAGCGCAATAACCAAAAGTTTCTTTTGTATGTGGTATCACGTGGGCAGAAAACGCTCCATTAATCTTTAACCTTTGATATAACTCTGCTCTCCCTTGGTCTTTGGCTTTTCTCTGATTCAATTTAAAAGAAAGAATGGCATGCAAAAGAATCATACTAGATCTAAAACTTTTAACATATTTTCACAAAAGAATACTTATACTTCAATGAAGCACTAATAATATTTGGAAACGGTACAAATGTGTAGGTCACACATGCGTCATGGTGTTTTAATGCATCAGTTAAAATTTATGTAAGTGTTTTAAAGCATTTAAATGCCTTGTATATACAATATGTAACTTTAAATACCATAGACTGCATATCAAAGATGGCCAAAGAAATTGTGACATCATAATGTTGAGCAAAGTCCAGGGTGAACATTTTCACCTTCACTATGTTCCCGTTTTGAAACCAGATGTCACAAGCTACATGCGTGCAGAGAATTGTTAATCACGTGCTGAAGCAAACTGTGGTTTATGCTTCTTTCAGACTCCAATAAAAAACACAATTTACAAAGTGAACTTCATGTTCCACTTCATGTGGGACTGCTGAACTATACAACCAGAGGAGTCGCCCTCTGCTGGCCATTAACAGAAAATCATGTTTAAGGGACTTCCACATTGGATTCTGGATCTGTGAACAACTTATAAAATCTGTGTTGTAGAAGCAAGTCTTGCCACTCATTCAGTTATCTAAATTAACTTTATTGTGGTCACCAGAACATAAAATTGTTATAATGACATATATGTCATATAAAAAAAACACATGCTTAAACAGTTTGTTGACTTTTACGCTTTCACCACCATCTTTGCTGATGCAGAACTTTCCAGTATGTTTTATTTCTAATCCTTTCAACTATATTTTAACTGTATTTTAATATCTATTAAAATATGCTTTGGGGTTGTCTACCATATCAGATCAGAAGCTGGCAAGTGGTTGCTGGTGGTTGTTGGTACTATCAGTCACACAGAAGGTGCTGCTCCAAAAACATCCTTATGATTGCAGATTGTTGCTGTTCGTTGTACTTTGAATGGAAGATGCAGAACTGTCTACAACACCCTCCAACTAATAGTAAAATTGAAATAAAACTTTTAAAAGTGCAAAAAACATTCACCTTCAAAGTAAAAGTTGTGCCTCTGTGTTCCAGACATGTTTCAAAAGGTGGTGCTTTTATTTTGAAGACGGATTTTCTCTGTTTGTGCTTTTGTTGCATTTTTCACAGTTTCATAGATGTTTGGAGAGACTTTGGTGAGTGTTTGCAGTCGGTGTCTTCCATGCAAATTACGGTCGACTGCTGCAATCTGCTAGAGAAGAAAGCGATTGCAAAGATTTTTGTGGTGCAGCAATTTGCACTTCTTTGTGACTAATTTCAGCAACCTCAAGCAACCACAGAGAAACTGGTTGAGGAATACAGATTTTTCCCTGGCAACCAGTTTTGGCAAATGGTCACAGCAAAAATGTCAGATAATTGGTTAGTGGTCACTTCAATCTAAAACTTCAACAGGCCTTGATATTCTCCTGATTTTCTTTCGGCTGTTCTCTTTAGGGGTCACCACAGCGGATCATCTCCCTCCATCTTAACCTATCCCTAGCACCTTCCTCTGTGACACAACCCCCCTGCATCTTTGAACCTCCTCTGTGGTCTTCCTCTTCCTTGCTAGGCAGTTCTATATTCATTGTAATCCATTTTCAATAAATTAAATTGAGTTTAATTTATATAGCACCAATTTAGAACAACAGTGGCCTCAATCTGCTTTATAATCTAAAGACCCTACAATATTAGACAGAAACCCCAACAATCAGACGACCCCCTATGGTCAGACAGTTGGCGACAGTGGGAAGGAAAAACTCCTTTTTAACAGGAAGAAACCTGCAGAACCCCCGCAAGGAGGGAAAGCCTTATATTCAACACATTTATTACTATTCACATTTTTTTAATTGTCTTTCAAAATATTTAAGATAAAAACATTGTTAATGTATTTTTTAGCTAACAATTTTAACTGTCATGCATGCTATTAGCTAATAATTTCAATTTCGTGTCCATTATAGTTACCCAACAGTTTAATTTCCTTATTTATATCTTTATTATTTTTCTTAAATGTCTGTATAAAACTTGAATTTCTTTTCAATAATAATGATCATCATCATCATAATAATAATAATAATAATAATAATAACAAGAATAACAAGAATAACAATAATAGTAAATAATCATGCATGTTGCTAGGAGGTAAACAAGTGGAGGAGGGGAGCATTTAAAACCGAAGCTCACCTTTGTGAGAGGAACCGGAGGGTTTAACTGTAACAAGGTAACAATGACACCATTTTCTGCTCCTATAGTGCATTTTTTTCTTTTTCTTCTTTTTTTTTTCTTTAAGTAGGCAGGACCGCGTCTGTTTTTGACACAGGGGTAAAGAAAGGGCAGTCACGTGACCGCGCGGGGTATATTCGAGGCGGGTCGTAAACAGAGCAGCAGCAGCTGCGGAGAGCAGAGCCGAGCAGACAGTCCACAGGAGCCCAGCTGACAGGAGCTCGTCTCCCGGTTTCGTGTCCCTGCGACCCACCCGGCCTTTCGGGCTATAAAATCATTTCTTTCCAACTTCAGCTACAGTGATAGCTAAGTTTGGAGAGGAGAAAAAGGGAGAAACGCCGTGTCTTCTTTTGTTTTTTCCGGTTATTGTGTCAGTTAGGTGCAGAGGTAGTCGGAGTCGACCTCCTTTTGCATTACAAAAGGGGATCTAGCAGAAAAGAGAGAATATATATTAGACATATCAAGCCGGTTGTTTCTATCTGAAGAGCTTTAAAATGGATAACTCTGGAACTAAAAAGACGTGCATGGGTGAGTTGTTTTTCTGTTGCAGGAGAAATTACTGAATATTTCCCAGGAGAGGAGCCTGAGTGTCACAGATGGGTATCGAACACCAGCTGTAACATGTTTTCTCCACAGAATCCACCCGAGACTTCTTCACCTCGGCCAAATTTCTCATCTACATGGGCCACGCTCTGTCAACATGGGTGAGCACACACTGTTTATAACCAGCATTGTATTATAACCATGCTCATGTCCATCTAACTGACATCACACAGTAAATGTATGCATGTTCACCTTGATGACTATATTTATTTGTGGCCATCCAGTGTTAAATCAAACCTAATGCGTTATTAGTTTTGTTATTGCTGTTTTATATGTCATTACAACTGTGCAAACTCATTTATTTTTGCACCTGCAGCTAGCCACACAGTACTCTATTTACAAATAGCTTTAAATATCTGAATATCTGAATTTAAATTCCTCAGGGTGACCGGATGTGGAACTTCGCTGTGGCAGTTTTCCTGGTGGAGCTGTACGGGAACAGCCTGCTGCTCACTGCCGTGTATGGGCTGGTGGTGGCTGGCTCGGTGCTCCTGCTGGGAGCCATCATCGGGGACTGGGTGGACAAAAACCCCAGGCTTAAAGGTAAGTTTAATCTGGGTTATGTGTGGCACTTTTTGGCTCAGTTTGGTGGGCTTGAATTGGGTTTCTGGCAGTTCTTTTCGCTGGTCAGATGTCACAACACCTCTGATATTTGGCCCATATAAGGGCCAGGACCTGTAGCTTGCCCTGAGTCAACACCGTCAGCCAAGGACAAAGAAAACTGTAAATAGTTACTGCAGCCTGGGATGTAAAACCAGGTGTTTGACTGTGAACATGAATTCCCTTGAACACAGACATTTAACAGTTAAACTGGAAAATAATTACACAGAAGAATTTGGCAAAGACATGAAATGAGCTTCTTTGCACCATAATGAATGTGTTGTGTCTGATCAGATCTCTGTCCCTAATGCCTGTCGTGGTCTTTCCACAGTGGCCCAGACTTCGCTGCTGGTCCAGAACAGTTGTGTCATCGCGTGCGGGGTCCTCCTCATGCTTGTTTTCCAGTTCAAAGACCAGCTCACGGAGCTCTACAATGGATGGATTCTGGTAAGATCCCCTGTCCTGTTTCAACCTGTTTTGGTGGGGATTTGCACTGAAAGCATTTTTACCTCCTTTCTTTAAGCTGAGGTTGAAACGTTCCTACTTTCACTCACTGATGCGAGTTCCCCTGTCAGTGTGATTTATGGAGTGAGCACAGCTTATCCACAGAGGATTGCAACAGCTCCACTAGAATTTTTTAATGTTCATTTGAACTCAAGTTAATCATCTTGAAATCATAAACTTATTATAAGCAAATCGATGAACAAAATCTGTAGAATTTACACTTGAGTATTTAATGCTTTAGTGTTTTTTTTTAAAGCAGTAGAAAGAGCCTGTTTCTAAAATATTTGTGGGTGTAACCTGTCTTATCAAACGACTATCAGGACACAGCCTGAAGTGGACTCCCACAGATACTTACTGAAGCATCAAAAATAGTAAAAAAAAAATTTAATAGAAAATTTAAAAAGAAAGAGGCCTATCAGATAATTTATTCTAATGCAAACTAAAAGCACCTATTCACTTCAATATATCAAATAATTCAAACACAGTTAACAGCGGAAAAACAGTAAAATGTGAAAGTGAAAATGAGTAATACACATAATTAGTTTGTAGTACACCAATCAATTATTTAGATATTTAAACTTTTTTTCTTTCAAATCTAATCCGGTGTACACATGACTGCTGATGAGTACAAATTTCTCTCTAACAGACTGAACTTCTGTTTTTATAATAAATAAGAAATCAATAATTCCTCATTTAAGTTTCCTCTTTCTCTCTGCTCATGATTTCAAGGGAAAGACCCAACAGTTAACACCAAAGCAAGTTAAAATTTCAAGACATAGCAGTATTCATATTTGCAAAACTCTTTCTATTGTCATCAGTTCCTCCTTAAAATAAATAACGCCGCTCTTGAGGCAGTTGGACAAAACATGGCACTTGAACTGAGTTTACATGAAGTTTATTCTGAATAAAATCAGTCAAATCCGAGAAAGGTTCCCATAGTTCAGTGAACCTTGGGAACCTTACATTCATACATTCATACTATGAATATTTTCTAGGCCCTCAGAGTACACAGGAGTGGGCCCGTTTTCACTCTGTTAAATGAGTTTTATCCCAAATTTCTAATCCCTCATAACTTTTATAAGTACCAATGATATTCACATTAAAGTTCTGTTAAAAACTGTACCTGGATCAGGTAGCACTACTCATGTCCGTTAAACCATTGGTGCTCATGTAAGGGAACAAGGTAGGTCTGAAAAATTAATTAAGGCCTTTATTTTACACAACTGAAGTACTTGTAAATTACACCATCACGTAGCAGCTTTTGTCTTCTTCAGGATGTAACTTGAAGAAGCGAAAGCTGATAAGCTTTGGTGATAAGCTGCTACGTGTTTCATAACAAATCCAGCACCTTGTACTACGAAAGAGTTTATCATACAAAGCTGGTTATCACCTCAGACCTGCACGTTCACATGATCATATGACTCGTCCAGAGAAAGCAATCCCTATGAGTGTCACCTACTCCAGTCAGAGACATTATCACATTATGATCAAATGGTGATCACAAATCTCTAAAAAACATTTTTTTTTTAAATATAACAGCAAAACGCAACATTGTTGTTAAAAAGAAACAGTTAATGCAGAAAACCATTATTCTGATCTTTAGTGTACAGAGCAGTAAAATAAAAATTTTAATTACACTTAATTATTTTCTGGCTGAGGCTGAGGGTTTTTTTTCCCTGCTGTGGAGTCTTTACTATTTAAGGGTTTGAGAGTAAAGATTAAATACAAAATCAATATTCAAATGTAGTTTACACATTAGATATGATGTCAGCAATTAAAGTGGAGGTGTCCTGGTTATGATCAAATGTTAACGATTAAAGTAAAATAAAATTGTTGTAGAGTTTTGATTGCCAACAGATAAAAAAAACAAAATGAAATAAAGTTGCGTCAAAAGATCTATATTTATCAGGGAAACACAAAGACATTAAAATGCTCCTATTCTCCTCGTAATGAAATCTTTTAGGAATGGTGATGCTGTTTTCTGAAGATTGGTCAGTAGGAGTTAATTTCATACCTGTTGGTTTTCATCTGAAACTTAACGTGCTCTGGAGCAGGTTACCATGGCACGTTAAGACGTAAATCACCTTCATAGTACTGTACAAAAATGAGATTTTTTTCCTTAGATTGTGACACTTGGAGTGGCTGTGAAGTTGACTTATTTTTAGTTTTAACAGAGTTTTTCAGCCCTGAAAATTTCAGATGTATATCTCATTTGATTATGAAGGTATGAGGGCTCAAAATATTGGAAAAATCCAAAAATTTGAATACAGGTTCAGCAACTCTGAAAACATTCAAAGTGTGCTGGTAAAGATTTGCTTTGGATCAATTAAATAAACTAAGATTGAAATAATTAGCTGATTCTGAAGGAGTCATGTGGAGGATTACTCAGATTTATTTATTTATTAATGCATTGATCCAAGAATGTCCACATAAACTTCTCTGTAGCTAAATCTGTACTTGACTTCAGTTTTTCTCCCTGAATGCAGATGTGAAGCATTACAGTTAAAAAGTGAAACACTTCCAGGAGAAAGTCAGCAATGACTTTCTCTAAAGTTTGATTTCACTTCAAGACGAATCTTGAATCTTGAGTAAAGGGGGTTAGAAAACAAGTAGATTCTCAAGCCTGCAGTAGATTTAACATACGAGTACATACATACTACAACAGGAAAGCTACTGGGGACCAGGTGTTTCAGTTATTTCTTTTTTACACTTGTTGAGCTATGTGACTAAACAGGAGCTCCCTCACTGTCAATATTTTGATCTCCGCGATCCAGAGATCCAGAACTGCAAACTGTTCAAGTTTCCGTTCATCACAGGAGACGGGTTTGGGTGTCGGGTTGAAACACAGAAGCCCTCCAGCGTTGTTCTTTTGTGTTTGAAGTATCTGTGGGAAAATGGGGCTATTTCTCTAGCGGTCAGAGAGTTCAGAGGGCTGGCTGTTGTCGGAGTGCTGGTGGAGGCGGTGAGAGACTGGTGAAACAGGAGATTTAGTGTCTTGCTGAACGCTGTGCAGTCAGCAGGTTGTTCAAGGCCAGTCACATGACACAGAGAGAAATGTGGCTGGGCCTGCTGAAGCATTTCTGTTTTTTTATTGTTTCTATACTGACCAGAGCAGCTGTGTGAAAATGCATGCACAGACCCACAAACAGAGTCTGCTTCAGAAAAATGTGCAGTTTCTGCTGAAATTTTTAATTTTAACTAATGATATAGATTTTTTTTTCAACAGGAAGTTATTGATTTGACACGTAGTGGGAACGGTTGACATTTGATTTCATTCTTAAAGAGCTAATCAGGTCGGATTTTGAGAGTTAGAAAAAGTTGAGAAACTCATGTTCCCTTTACCCTTGACACCTTCTGTTGAGGGATCTGGTCCATGCTTTGCAGCCAGTTAAAATGACCCACTTTTTGAAGACAAGTTCCTGAAGATGTTCATCACTGTGACAGATTCCATCTGAGCTTGTTGGGCTTCATACTCTCAATTGACACTCAGCTCACACTGCCGTCTCTCTATTATCCACTGTGGTGTAGCCAACATTGACATTTTTCTAGTGTTTGTTTTTGTAAGTTTTGGCATTTACTGCAGATTGTAGCGGAGTGCACAACCTTACGTAATTTATGTTTAGCCTCATCGTATCTTTAATAATTACTCTGGTGGTGTTTCCCCTTGGTAGACTGCTTAGTGGGTCCGGGTGATGCCCCCCCCCCCAGGTTAGTCAGGACTAGCTTCCCTGTCATCAGACTTAGACATTTGGGGTCAGTTGGTGTCTATTCAGTATGTTTTTAGATGATTGAACACTTGCTGGGAAGCTTTTTCTGCCCTTCAGTCAGCTCTAGCCTCTATCTTTTGTTCTCCCGTCTCATATTTCCTACTGCCCCTCCCCCCTTAAACCGTCACAGCAGAAACAAACATGACCATAAATGACTGCAAAATGGAGAGTATAACCCTGTGATAAAATTTCACAAAGGCACAAAAATTAGGCAAGCTAGATAAATAAAAACATGCATTTTAAATCTTTTTTAAAAATACATTTATCTGTTCCCTTGGCTAAACTGTGCAGCTGTACTGGAACAGGAATGACTACTTTGGACCCCTCCTCCACCCTAGAAACAACTCCTTTTTAAGTCAAAGGTCAAATCAGTATGGATCAATACAGATCCATCAGTGATGAAACATAAATGTCTCTTCTAATGGGAGATTTTGTCCCAGTATTTTAAATGGGAAACATGGAAAAGGGGACCATAGCCCAGAAAAAAATCGGTGAAATTCAGTGATTTAAAGGGTTGACAGGTAAAATAAAGCTTAAGACTGCGCTGTCCAACAGATCGAGAAATTAAGTTAATGGTGTTAATTCTTTCATTGGAAATCCAAAGAGTTGGAGAATCAGTGCTAAAGCTGGCTCTAGCTATCCTCTAAAAAGCAACAGTGGACTCATGTGTACTTTCTCTGACACTCCAACCAAACCCCGTATTGGATTTAGATTCAACCACATGCTAAATAGGCAGATTTTCATAAACCAGAACATGCCACGAGGTACACATCAAGCTTGGGACTGCAGGCTTTTCTTTTTGGGTGTTCCAAAAAAGATGTTAACCTGAACTCGAACCTGAATTCTTGATGGGTTTATGGATGACCTTGTAAATGTTAAACGTTAAATAAAAATCATAATCTAAAATAATAATATATTATTTTAGAATATATAAAATAATCATGCTTTAGTTGAAGGCAGCTGGACTCCTTTTAGGTGTTTCATGTCATCTGAAAGGCTGAGGAGTTGCAGGTGTTTATCTTCTTATAGGGCTGTGATCTTGGAAATTGTCAAGACACGCCCAGACGTGTGAGGACGTTTGTGAGTCATTAAGGTCACAGTGGTGGAGGTGTGAATGGCAGCTCAGTTGCCTAGGAAGGGATCTCAAGATTGTTTTACAGGTAACTGATAGCTGGTGACATAGGCCACCAGTTCGGTTCAAGGATAGCCGCTCCAGTTGAACCTAAATTGTCTCCTTTTTTCCTCTGAGTTTGTTGGTCTTGAGGAGATTGTGTAAATCAACATAACTCAAATATGTGTTCATCGAAAAGGACTGAACTGTGTAGCTTTGTGGCTTAATACTGAGGTTTTTGGACTACAATGGAATTCGATGACATGAGGGAGTTAGATCTATCCGATTCTTAGTTTTTCATGTTTCATGGGAGTATTTGTCATTTTATCACACAAAGTCAGTCCAAATATAAAACTACTGTTACATTTTTTTTTATCATTTTCAGACAACTTGCTACATCCTGGTCATCACCATCGCCAACATTGCCAACCTTGCCAGCACGGCCATGTCCATTACCATCCAGAGAGACTGGGTGGTTGTTGTAGCAGGTCAGGACAGCAGCAAGTTGGCAGGTAGGTGTTTGCTATCGACTGGTGGCTTATCTTCAGATGTAGGCCTCATATGATCTGTTATCAGGTCACATGTTCAGCTGGGAGGACTTTGAACCCCGGATGCTGACTCGCTCACATTTCTTTTTCTTTTTTTTTATGTCACTGCAGTTTTCCATTGATTGTGACAAGCTGCTAGAAAGATTTGGTCACATGGTGCACAACACTTTGAACTGGTTGACCCTTATCAATCCGCTTGTGCTAGTTCTTAGTTTATATTACTGTAAACACGAATTTTAAGACCATAATCAGCTTTTTTATATCAATGTGTTAAATTAGCTGTTAAACTAACTAGCTTCTACTTCCACTCCCTTGTCAAACAGATATGAATGCCACAGTGCGGATTATTGACCAGCTGACCAACATCCTGGCTCCCATGTTAGTGGGCCAGATTATGGCCTTTGGCTCTCATTTCGTTGGCTGTGGCTTCATCTCTGGCTGGAACCTGTGCTCCATGTGTGTGGAGTACGCACTGCTGTGGAAGGTCTACCAGAAGACGCCCGCACTGGCTGTGAAAGCTGGACAGAAGGAGCAGCAGCAGGAGCTCAAACAGCTCAGCCCTACAAAAGGTAAGTGCAGCATTATCTGTTTGTATCGTTGGGGAATAAAACTGACTGTGTTTTAGATTTGGTAATCGAGAACCTCCATTATTCTGCCCTTTGACAGATTTGGAGAATGGCCAGAGTCCCGAGGAGTCATCTCAGCCACTTATGAACGAAACCTCCGTTGTTGCCAAGTCTGACTCTCCCAAACAGCGCAGCTGTTGCTACCAGATGGCTGAACCTGTGCGCACCTTCAAGGCCGGCTGGGTGGCCTACTACAACCAGAACATCTTCTTCGCCGGCCTTTCACTGGCCTTTCTTTACATGACGGTGCTGGGCTTTGACTGCATCACCACAGGCTACGCCTACACACAGGGCCTCAATGGCTCGGTGCTCAGTCTGCTGATGGGAGCCTCGGCCATCTCGGGCATCTGCGGCACCGTCGCCTTCACTTGGGTTCGCAAGAAGTGTGGCCTGATCCGCACTGGCTTCATCTCCGGCATGGCCCAGCTCTCCTGCCTCATACTGTGTGTCATCTCAGTCTTCGCTCCTGGAAGCCCCTTCGACCTCAGCGTCTCACCCTTCCAGGACCTCTACACCCATCTGATTGGAGAGAAGACCCTGCCTGAACATGTCCACAGCCTGACCGGTGGAAACATCACTATGCCTACTACTGCCGCACCAACCCAAGAGCTGCCACCTATGCAGTCCTACATGTCTGTTAGTCTGCTGTTTGCTGGCGTAATTGCTGCTAGAGTTGGTGAGTGAAGTAGTTTATTTTTTTTCCCAATCTGGGAATACTTGCTGTATTTTAGATGCGGTGCAGAGATTTACCAAAATGGATTAGTACGCCAGCTATTAGTGGCCGAGTCCAGATGGAGAAGAATACGTCTGAAATCAGGAGTCAGTGGACGTTTGGAGAATTTTAAAGGCTTAAAAAACATTGTTAGTTTTGACTTGCATCTCTCTCTTATTTCGACTGTACTTTTATGCTACACTATTGTATTTCAAGTCGTGCAACAACAGGGTCGGTCATACTGTTGTTTGATAGGTCTTCCAAACAAAATTTCTATAAAAACACCTGCTGGAGATGATCAGTGTAGGGCCAGAAGCAGTTATTAAGTGGACTCCAGGGAAGGTCTCACTGCACATTATAGTCATAACACTGGTAATAAAAAAGGTCCACGCACCCCAAAGTGCTGATGTCCATTTTCTTAGGTGTGTTTATTTTATTCGTTAGGAAATTGGAGTGTTCAGGAACTGCTGCTCATGCTTTATTGGCATGTTCATTTCCTCTGACCAGATAGCAAATTTTCAAAATTATCACTTCCAGACAGGTGACTCAAGCAGCTTGACAAGTTGGACTGTTATATAACTTGTAAGAATGTCCCACAGGACCTCTGCAGTATCTGCAACCTTTGATGCCAGTAATATTGCCTCATTATTCCTAGTAGAGCTACTGTTGAGTACTGAAGCGGTTTTATTATGGATATAAAAAGATTATTAGAGCTGACTGTTGATCTTTGCCTCTGCCCTGCAGGTCTGTGGTCTTTTGACCTGACAGTGACCCAGCTCATCCAGGAGAATGTGATCGAGTCAGAGCGAGGTGTGATCAACGGCGTCCAGAATTCCATGAATTACCTCTTAGACCTTCTGCACTTCATCATGGTGATTCTGGCCCCAAACCCAGAGGCCTTTGGCCTTCTGGTCATCATCTCTGTCTCCTTTGTGGCCATGGGCCATATGATGTACTTTCGGTTTGCCTTCAGGAGCCTGGGCAACCGCCTCTTCCTCTGCTGCTCGCCGGAGCAGAAGGTGGAGGCAGTTGACAATCCTTCACTTCCTACCACTGTCTAATCCCATTAAAGAGACTCTGTCCTGGGTACATACATCTCAAACCTTACACTAGCCCTGCATCTTATTTATCTCACTAACATCTTAGCTTGTAGCTGGCAGAGTGCTAACGTAAAGCGTAGACAACATGCTATCGGTAGCCATTAACCATTAGCAGTAGCAGAGGAGTAGAAAGTGTTAGAAAGTAGTGAAAGTTTAGATAATGCAGGGGTTTCTGTAGCGTTTTCAGTCTGGGAGTCAGATGAGCGCCTCAGCCATACACCTATGGATCCACGCTCCTTAACACATGCATGCGCTGTCCAACAGGGGTCCATCGCTTCTGGGTGCTGTTGGAGAAATCATGGACAGTGCAGTGTAAAATCCTCTCCACCTAACAGCCCGCATGTAGCTGTAAAGATGTCTAAAAGGTGCTTCAGCAAAAAAAAGGGCAGAATGAGAGAGAAATCTCATAGAGGAAGCTGAGATCCTGACAGTCAGGACGCCACTCGGGTTGCCTCTCAGTTTGGGTTCGTTGGTGCTGTCGCTGCATCCGCTCACTGTTCTCTCAGACTTCTTTCTGTGCTGGCTTACATATATATATACGTGTGTGTGATGAGCAGGTTGTGGATACTTTTTATTTAACCAAACAGAAAACTGGGATCTTGTCTCTTTAATGTGTGGTGTTGAGCATTTAGCTGTGTTTATTCAGGAAATGCAGGCGGTGGTTTTTGTAATGACTGTATCATCAGTATTGTGTTGTGTGCTTGCAGTTGTGCCATATGAAACACAAACATCCTATGCACCCTTATCAATAGCTCGCAGTTACCAAAGTTAAAGTCCATACATGGCTTAAAAGGAAGTGAGGGAAACCAGTTTTGGCTGTCTAAGCATTCCAAATATACACAATATTTTCCATCCAGTGAAAATCTTACTGTATCTGAACCCACTTGTAGATTGTATCTAATCTTTTTTTTTCTGGTAGTTTACAATTATATGAAGATGTGTTAGGGCCGTTCTAGGATTGTGGTGAATTTTTGTGGAAAGAAACTCCAAGACTAAAAAGCTGTAAAATCACACTAAAACAAATATGAATATACAAAAACACAAAAGTGCCAGAAAACGGACATCACTTACGAGGAAAAGAGAGAAAAAAAAGTTGTAAATTTATGGGAAATACAATTTTTGAGAAAGTTGTCTAGAAAAAAAGAGGTCATAAATATGTGAAAAAAATTACAACTGCATAATAATCTTCTGCATAATCACAAATGCAGAAGAAAAGTCAAGATTTCCTGAGATTAAGTAATAAATTAGTCAAAGAAATTTAGGTATTCTTTGAGATTACAAAACTACCTCTTTAGTCTCTAAAATTTACATTTTAAATTTGTGAGAAGAAACTCTTAAAATTGCAAATTTATCAGAAAAAAAACCAGTATTTTGACATTAAAGAAAAAATTCTTTATATTCTCTAAAATAAAAATAAATTTATTGTGTGTACTAGAAAAATATATTTTTTGAGAATTTAGTCATACATTTATGAAGATTACAATTGGACTCGAATGTGTTTAGTTTAGTTCTCTTAAAGAAGTTGTAAATTTATGATCTGGAAAAAATTTAAAATCTGGAAAAAGTCGTAATGATTCTGATTATAATGTTTTTAAGCTAAAATTAATGAGAAATTAAAACTCTTACAGAATATTAAGATATACAGTGTTGTATAGATTTACAACTTTAATAAAAAGAAGATATATCCAAGTTTCTTTCCAAATTTCTTTTTACATTTCTTTTATTTCATTTTTTTCCCTCAGAATACCACCCTTACCTCCACAAGTTTTGTTTTTTGTTTGAACGGCTCTAGCATGGATTCATATGAACATCTTAGTCTTTTGAGTTCTCTGGAGTGATTTTTTTCCAGTGATTGTCTATAACTCAGGCACTTTACGTGATTGACTTCTGTCTTTACACCTAATGCGTGATCAGGCATTAGTTCAATATGATTTTGCACAAATCTGAAGTCCCGACTTCACCCAAAACCCTCCGCACCATGCACAGTAATGCGTTCTCTCTTCAGATGTCGTTGTTTGGCGGGAGGGTACTACGGCACATATTGCAACACCCAGCACTACTACCACATGGTCATGAGGGAAAAATAACCTACCCGAGTTCCTGTAAAAAACAGCCTCGGTTTACCTCAGGCGCTCCCACGTTTCCTCAAAAAGCTACTCAGGGATCTGAGTCAGCAGGTCTTATCTGAAATCACTTTATGGCACTAAAACCCTCAACTTTTATTCAGCCGGGGTTGAAAACGTACCCATTTAGGGATTTTTGGCGCTTCTGCATGCCGTTTTTGCCATGAAGTGATTAAACAAATTAAAAAGTTTAATTTTTTAATGAATGTTTCCAGACCTTTACAGAATCACTATAATACAGAAATATCTATATAAAGAGCGTAGCATTGAAAGCCCCAAAGGTCTATTTTGTTCCCTGTAGAGTCAACCCTTCAGTTGTAAGTGGAATAACATGTTGTCTGCTTACCTTGCATTTTTACCTGTATCCTTTCCACCTCTGAACCTCCGAAATTTCACACGCCTTAATGGAAACCAGACTCGCCACACTGGCCGGTGCTCGCAGATGAAAAGGTTAACCACAATTCCAGCCGCGGAGGGTAGACGTGTTTGGGTTGGAAGGCGAGTTAACCGCACCAGGTGTGGGAGAACAGAGGGCCATTTTGTAGGGCCCGTGAAACAGGATGGAGGAGCTTTATTTTCATGTTCCACCTGCTTCACATTCAGTCTGCGCACGGGAACAAAAGCAGCTCTCAGAACAGGTCTGCTGATTCAGGAATATCCCACATGGTCATGAATGCTATATTTTCTAATGTAAATATATTTAGCTGTGAGTCGATACAAACTTAATTGGAAAACAGAAAATCAGAGTGTATACTGTTGTTGTGCTGTTTGAAAACTTTTTTTTTTTTACATTTTTATATATGTAGTGTCAACACTTTGTGATTCTTTTTTCTGTAAGCTGTAGTTCCTTTTCATTTGAGCACATCTGTATTTTATTGCTTTCATCTCTTTCTACAAACATATACATATAAATAAAACTCTATATATCAGTGTTATTGTAGTTTGATAGAATAAAAGCACCAAATCATTAAGAAATCCTTTTTGTGTAATAATCACACTCCCCTGAATATCAGGAGGTTTGTATTGGTTGTAGTGCATGATATGTCTTAAATAAAGAAAACCTTTACAATCACTTCTCTGTAAAGTCGTGTTTGTGTGTGTGCCAGTCTTGGCCTTGGCTGCCACTGTGTGAGGTCACATACCACAGCAGAGTTAGCAGCTAATTTCCTTTTTCTCCAGGCAGCCGGTGCTGAACTGAGCCAGGTGACCTGAACTTCAACACAAAAGAGTGAGCTGGATTTGCATAACATGAGCAACAAATGAGCATTTGAGGCTCAGGCACATTAGCGAGCTTCAACTTTAATGAGGGTGGCCTCATCACTCAGCGTCCTGTAGCGCGTCCTGTCCTCGCTGCTCGGCACTGTGCAGCCTGAAACCCATTTGCCATATCATACCAGCACTGGCAGGTCCACCACTGACACCCTGTGCTTTTCATGATGATGAGATGAGAGCAGATTTTCTAGAATTATGCAGAGCTGCAGTTGTCATTCGACCACTAAAGCAGCATGGATCATGTTTGAGTTATCCAAGCTCTCCGATTTTACTTGAAACAAAGCTACGAAAAAGTTGTAAATTAGACCCTCCTCAATTCCCTTGAAATGTATCCTTTGATTCAAATTCTCTAATGAAAAATTCTCTAATGCCTCCTAAGACTGAAACAATGGCTACATTGGTAAATTTTTACATTTTGAAAATATAAGTAGCTAATGGTTCCAGACAAATCCAGAAATGTTTTGGAATTTTTGAGAGATTGAGTCAATGATATGCTACATGAAACAACAAAAGTAGTCTGATCCAGTTTAACACGGGTTTATGTTAATAGATTTGAACATGAGGAGTCATGTTAGTGCAGGATCCCAGCTGACAGGGCGTTCAGTGAGTTGAGAACCAGCCTAAACTGTATTATGTGAACATGTTTTGTTTAGTTTTTTTTTATCTTTACTGTCAAATTACTTTGTCTATTCACTATTTGGTACCATTATACCTAATCACTGTACAATTAGGAGAGAACCGGCCACTGACCTTAGTGAAAGTCCAATGTCTACAGACAAGAACTAGGTCTCCAGATAAGTGTGCACAGCATAAATATTATCTCCTTGAAAACGCCTTAAACAACAGGTGTGTTTTATTCAAACCCTGTGTTCACCTATTTGAAGAAAGTTTTCAGGAAAGAAATGAAACTTTTATTCTATCTGCAAAGAAATCGTCAGTGCCTGCTCCTACAGCTGATAAAAAAGGCAAGTGTTAGAGGTTCACATTGCTCAATTTTACAAGTCAGTAATCAGGTGTTTAACTCTATATCCACCTATACACTGAACACCTTTATTACAGTTACAGCTTCATTTCCAGAATAGCTGGTACACAACGAAACGGAATAGGTTTCAATAATTTTAAGTGTATATTTATATACAAAAACTAAATTTGTCAAATATTAAACTATCATTTCTTCCATGATCACCTGGATTCATCAATGATTAGATTATATAATTTGATTCTAGGTAATGTTATTACTTCCTTTTAATAATCACTACCTGTGCAAGAACAATTTCCTACTCTCAAAATATTTCGCTTTACAGCTGTCAGCAGTTAGCATTCCAAATGTGGATACTTTTGTAACTGGCAGAGACATCCGAGGGAACGTTTTCCCACCAGAAAGCTATCTTGTTTTATGGGGGGGAAAGCTGTCGGCAGTTGCTATGCCAACTACTTGTAATTAGCAAACAGACATGGAAGTGATACCAGGTCTCATGTTAATGGGTTGAAAAGAAAAACATTCTCCCCCAAGAATCACTGTATCTGTGCAGGAAGTTTTGCAGGAAAATTTTCCCACCCAAACTTTTTTTGATGTTATGCTAACTATTGATAGCTTTGAGATTAGCAAACAGCCATTAGGGTAATATCAAGTATCTTGTATTACCCTTTGCAAGACAGAAAGTTTTATTTCCTAAAGCATTAAAAAAAAAAAAAATCTGTTAAGCTAAAACAAAAATATATTTTTTTAAGCTCAGAAAAACAAAAAGTCATAATTTGATTCCAGGTAATGTCCCGTGATTTCCTCCTAACGGTCACTATACCTGCACAGGAACTATTCCAGGAAATGTTATTTATGAATCACAATTGTCTCCTCATGGCACTTTATACTGTCAAGGTAAAGATTCTCCAGTACTGTAAAACGAATGAGCTCATTTTGTTTTTAAATAGTACATTTTACCAGTTTAGATTTGTATAATTCTTTTCTGTATTTTATTATGAATCACTCCAGGAGATTTATGAGATTTGCAAATCATTTCATTCTATTTTTAAATTATATTTCACTTATATTTTACAAAGCCTTCATGGGATTTTCTGGATTTGGTTTATACTGTAAAAGTATTAATATTACACTGAATTTGTACTGGAGTTTAGGTCAAATTTATAATGACACGGTCACAGCGGCCAAAGTGTTTTTACAGATACCAGCTCAGCTTTACAATCCCTCAATTATAATGAGTCAATAAAGGTGACGGATAAAGCTTACGACTAGATGAGAATGACCCGGTTTGATCAGTTACTGTGAAAAGAAACAGATAATTTTTCAGCAGCACCTGATCAGGAAAGGAACTGAAAGATGCTGATGTGAAACTGCACCGTCATCCCTAATCCTGGGGGGGAAAAAAAACCAAAAAACACCAGCAGCTCTGTCTGAAATCAGCTTACTCAAGACTTCAGGACTCAAGAGTGCGAACAAACCTTATAGCAGCAGTAATCAGACATTTCAAGGTTGGAGGTCACACAAAAATATGGGCATTGATCAAAAACAACAGCAGTGCCCATGCGTCAGCTATTCAACCTTTACATCACTAAAAGGGTCACAAGTTATTGTGACCCTTTGTGAAAGCAGAACTGAATGTGGTTCACAAGCATATACAACCAAAGTTACATATATGACCTTTACCCTTCATTATACTGATAATGGAAAACAGCTTGAACTCTGAAGATACTGAAAGTCATATAAACTTGGAAACTATATTAAAAAACAAAACAAAACAAAAAAACCCAAATCCATCATTTACTTGAGGAGTGTAGCCAAGGTTATAACTGTAGCTACAATTTCCAGATTCCCCGGAAAGATAAGTGTTTTCCAAAATAAAATGGAGTTAAAACAAAGAGAAAAATAAATAAATAAATCCTACTTCCTGATGAAATGACCCGTCTGGATTAGTGTGTTAGATAATGAAGACGATAAACCATGTTATAACGGGACGACTTCTAAAACACTAGAAGTTAAAAAAACAACCAAAAAAAGCTCTACTATAACTTTGGACGTAAACGGAGAGCGAAAACTAAAACAGCAGCGACATTTGGATGGTTAAAGAGAAGTCGGGATTCTCAGCAACTTCATTATATTTAATGGAGCCAAAACTTTCCTTTCATACTGTGAATATTTTCATAGTTATGGGTCTTTGAAGCACACAAACGTGGGTCAAAATCCTGTGCTTTTTTGGTACCTTGTTGCTTCATAAGTTCAGGAGAATCAGATCAACTCAACACCTATTCATAGTGTCACTTATGGAGTACTTAAGCTGTGAAACCACCATGCTGAGCATGGCGGGGATGCTTCTCTGCAGCTGGAACATCAACAGTGGAAATGTCACATTTCTCAAAAACAGCAGATACTGCAGCTTTTTGTATACATGAAAACATGCTGAGAGAACAGATAAGAGGAAATATTTTTATGCTTTAGTGAAAAAAAACCTAGAAGCAGCAGAACTCTGGTTTGGTACAAATATTTATTTTCCAAAAAAGAAAAAAAGAATAAGACAAAACAATTGAGGATTGAAAAGAATCCAGACCAAAAATTCAGTCCAGAGTTTTGGCAAGAAAACTGGTGGAAACTCGCGCTCGCTGTACAACAGCGGAGGAAAAGCTGGGAGGGGTTCCATTGTTTGGATGTCATAAACTTGTCCAATAATGACTTGAGGATTGTGTAATCAAATATGTGCTTTGTGTTTGCACAGAGATTTGTTTCCAGTCAGGGAGACAAAGTGGAAGAAGCCCACTTTGACTTATAAAACAGAAAACGTCCGAGCTGCTGGTGGAAACCTCGTACAGGCTCTGGTTAGGAGTCCAGGAGGCCTGCGAGCCAGCTGTGATCCAGCTTCCTCACCCTCCTCAGTTCTCTCGCCTGAGCCTTTGTCAGAGCGGGGGTGTCCGACTCTGTCGCCGCTGCCGCCGCCAGCTCCGGTTTGGACCTGCTGGATTCCATTTCCTCCTCAGAGTCCTCTTCCTCTTTCTCGCTCTCCATTTCCTCTTCTGCATGTGCCTTTTCCTCCCTGAGGCCACGAGAACACCAAAATCCCCCCCCAAAAAAATTATCAACACCAATGTGACTCAGCATATTTTTAGAGATAAACAGACCTCAGTTTCACATGTGCTGCTGAATCATGTGAAGCCTCAGTTTCAATTATATTTTCTTAATCCACATTGAGGTCATCAGACCAAACGAGGCTTAAAAGAGTCTGAAAATCTAAAACTCTAATTTGAATAATCTTTTATCATCTTCTCTTAATGCTAATATTGCCCAGTCTCTCGCCTTTTAAGACCGAGCCCTGGCATCTCATTTTAAAGTTTCGCCAGGAAAAAATGTTAATTTTTTTTCTCAAAGGTTTTCATTATGAATCTTTCTTATAAATATTTACACTTTTACATCATGTCTAGTCTGTATTCCAGTCTGGGTGCTGCACTTAAGTCTGATGTTGATTTATTTTAAACTGATGTGTGGATCGTTTTTAAAACCTTTTCCCTGCTTGCTGAATGCATTTTTTGTGTTTTCTGTTTCAGAGAGATCTACAAATAGCAGCCACGCCAGAAGCTGTCTGCAGATACCTGGGAAGATGATCTTGAGCGAAAATCTGACAAATTTAAACCAGTTATGGATTCTGACTTTTTTAGGTCTGATCACATCTTGTGTATACGCTCAGTAGGAAACAAACAACTGCAGCGGCTTCAACAATTATTCAGTAAAAGCTGGATTACTGACCTGGCGTCTGAGACAGAGATGAGCAGAGACTGAACAAACATGGAGCACAGGTA